GTTGGTATTAAATAGTGAATACCCTGGAAGGGCAATGAATTGAACAATCGACTGGCATCAGTTCTGGAGTTGTTCATCTCGAGTTTTTCGATAATCCTATTGATTGACATGGATGGTAAATGCTCTGAATCTTTGTTTCTCCCTTATCATCTCAAATCACTATGAATTCTCTAAGAACCTAATACCCAAAATGCCCCTGATTTTCCTGAATCATAGAATTCACTTTGGTCATATCTGAAACATAAGTAACTCAAATACAAAGGACTCTGAATACCTTTATGATTTCTTAGTGCCTCTGAAAAATATATGACTACAATATGATCCTAATAAATCACATTCTGAGTAACTAATGATTTCGTCAGCTAATGAACTCTTCCGATAGTGATTCTAACTTCTGGTATTCTATCGGTATGATGAAGATCCGTGTTTCTCTACCCGACAAGATTATCCAGTATCTCCGAATAATATCTGAAACCTCTAGTGTGTTTCCATATCACAAGGATGTTTTTCTCTAATTTTTGTTCTGATTTTTTATATCTCTAGTTACTGACTGAAAATGTTTTATTTGGGGTATTCTGGGATCTAGTATGAAGACTCTAGTAGGTTCAGTCGCTGCTGTTAATTCCTTTTATAGGTTATGAACCGATTGGTAATTCTTTACGGACTTAAGGTGACCCGTGGGTAGGATCTGCGGCCCCGATATCTTTCTGGGTAGGCCTCCATCGCCCCAAGAACTTTCTTGGGTAGATTTTTAAGCCCCAAGGTGCACCCTTAGGTTATGCAGTTCTGGGGAGCTGCATATGGCGTTTGGTTGGAGGGACTATTATGGTTTTGAAAACATGTTTTAAATGGTTTTGTGGGAACACACTAGACACTCTATCCTGATCTCTTGAACCCATTCATCCAAAATATTTCCCTTTGAACGAAAACTTAATGTCTGTTACTACCAGAGATATCAGTGAGACCTCAGCTCAGCCTAAAAATCTATAGATGTATGAACCAATAAGGAAACATATAATTATCTATTATCTGCATGTTATTCTGCATCATCTGGTAATTCTGTATTATTGAGATTTCCAAAGCTTAGTTTGTTACTCACCATTTCAGGTTAAAAGAATCGTATCAGCGCAGCTATCGACTTCAGTAGGGAGTTCCACCAGCGTTGCTTGCAGAGTACGGTGCATGAGATTAGGGACTTGTAGGTCGTATTTTGTTTTTATATTTGAGTCTAGAAAATTATTTTTATTTCTAAATATTGACAAATTTTATTTTTGTATTTTTAAATGATTTTATGATTTTACATGTTTTAATCAAAATGATATTTTTTCCAAGATTTTTATGGCGGGTCGCTCCGGTGGCCCTAATGTGACACCTAGGATCGAATCAGGCCACCCGCATAGATCTGAGAGGGTTACATTTAGAGGTATTAGAGCCTAGGTTGAGTCAAATAATTCTAGATAGATTGGCTGATTGAATGTTAAAATATTTCTGGTCAGTACATGCCCCTAGACAATAACCGTACTTCTCTAAGCCGAAACTCCAAGGTTAAGTCTCTCTCTGAAATGAGCTAACCTAAAATTTCTATTCGTTAGGGCTCGACCTACGCATAAGGAGATACAATAATGTTTTTCCAAACTCTGTAAAGTGCCTCACGATAAATGTGAGAGCTACTCATTTGAGAAATTTTGACCCGACTCCATAAATGAATTGGAATATGTTATCGCTCTATAAACCTATTCTCGTAGCTAAGGTCAAATTTTTTCCACAAGTATAATTTCGTTCTGATTCTTTTATTGGAATGAGGGAGAGTTCTAACGAGAATGTATACTCAACTGGGTAAGGATTAGTAAATACCCATATTTCTGTAACTCTCCTTAAAGATATGGAAGGACTGATGAAAACTTCATTTCTGTATTCATGTGACTTGAATGAATTTCGAGGATGAAATTCTTTTAAGGAGGGGAGAATTGTAACACCCTAAAGTATGGGTCAAATTATGAGTTTATAAAATTTATAGACAAATATTTATAGTTGCAGGAATACAGGGACCAAACCTGTAATTAGACTATTTTTCTTTATCGACAAAATTTAAACCCTTTTCCCAAATCGTGAACCTCGATAACTCAATTATCGAACCTCATCGACCTCCCTGAGCGTCGCCGTCCGACCAACATTAGAGCACGCCACTGCCACCAATCAACTCCCCACCAACTGGCGACCAAAGCCCGAGCATCGTCAAGCTGTGAATTGATGATTGTTCACGCGATTAAAATCCCAAATTTCGCCACCGTTTTCTTCAAATTCCGACTGACATAGTCGACGCTGCCTTTCACCGCCCTTCCCATCAAGTTCCTCAGGTATTTCCGATAATAACCCGACCCATTTCGTCGTCTCTCCATCGCTGCTTCGTTCGGTCGCCGTGGGATGATTTTCACTACTAGAAGTTTCTATTATTTTGACAAATTTAATTTTCATAAAATTAATTTTGTCACTATTAGTAGTTTTTTGGTGACAAAATAAAAAATAGTAGCATTAGATTAAAAAAAGATATACAAGTATGACAAAAGCTAAAATCGTCATAATAATTTGTCACAATTAACAAACATGTGTAACATATGATGATAAAATAGATTTTATTGCAAATTTTTGTTACAAATGTTTCCCTCCAATTTTTTTGGCGCCAAATTGAAGGCATATAGCGACAACTTTTGCAACTAAAAGTTTTAGTAACTATGAAAAAAATTGTCACAGCAAATAATGAGATTTAGATTTGTTGTGACAAATTTTGTTTGTAATTATATGTTTTAATTATAGTGACAAAATGTATAGTCACAAATGATTATCTCCAATTTTTGGTAAAAAACAAAATCATATGGTCACATGTTTTGTAACTATAAGCTATAATTATTGTTACAAAAAAAATTGTCACAGCAAATAATGAGATTCAAGTTTTTAGTAAAAAATAATGTTTGTCGTGATATGTTTAATTATAGTGAAAAATATATTGTCACAAAGATTTCCATCCATATTTTTTTGCGCAAAAAAGTCATATAATGACAAATTTTGTAACTATAAATGTTAATAATTATTACATAAAACATTGTCACAAAAAATAATGATATTCACGTTTTTTGTGACAAATTATATTTATAGTTATAAATTTTAACTATAGTGATAGCATATATTAATCGTCATAATTATTTTTCTCCACTTTTTTGTTTCAAAAGTTATATTGACAATTTTTATAATTATAATTTATAATTATTGTTATAGAAAAAATATCATATCAATAAAATTCAAGTTTTTTGTATTAAATTATTTTTTTACTTATATATTTTAATCATTATGAAAAATTATACTATCAAAATTATTTCTCCCTATTTTTTTAATGTCAAAAATGTTATATAGTAACAAAATATATTTTCATAAAGATTTTCCTCTATATTTTTTTGCACTAGAAAAATCATATTGTAATAATTTTTGTAACTATAAGTGTTTATAATTATTACAGAAAACATTGTCACAAAAAATAATGGTATTCACATTTTTGTGAGAAATTATACTTGTAGTTATAAATTTTAATTATAGTTATAACATATATTATGATAAATATTTTTTTCAACTTTTTTTTGTTTCAAAAAGCTATATTGATAAGTTTTGTAATTATAATTTATAGTAATTGTTATAGAAAAAATTATCACATCAGATAATAAAATTCAAGTTTTTTGTAATCAATTATTTTGTATTTATATATTTTAATCATTATGAAAAATTATACTATAAAAAATTATCCCTATTTTTTGGTGCCAAAAATGTTATATAGTAAAAGTTTTATAGTTATTGTTATAGAAAATTTATAAAAATAAAAATTTATTTTTTAATTAATAAATGATTTTAGTGTTTTATGAAAAAAAATATGTTTTTAGTTATACATTTTTATTTTAATGAGAAAATATAATAATTTATTATAAAAAAAATGTTCATAAAAATCAAAATTTTGTAATATATATAATTCAATGGCATTTTCAAATAAAAGATAATAACAAAATATATTATCAAAATGTTTCCATTTATTTTTTTACGAAACTAGTTTCAAATAAAAGATAATAACAAAATATATTATCAAAATAGTGAAAATGAAAATGAAAATTCTAAAAAATTGAACAATATATATTAACTAAAGTAGGACAAATTTCCTATTATTATTTTTTACATTAAGTTTAGGTGAAGTTTACTTCCGTCAATAATGATATATTCACTACAAAGCTCTTCTTAGTTGTATAATTACTTTTTAATATTTTTTATTACACAGTTTCATAATGGTTAACGATAGAAATCATTGATTAAAGGGTCACGTTAATTTTTTTTTCTAAATTCGAGGGTCACATTGAATGCAACAATAATTCGATGACCAAATTGATCTTTTCACAAAAGTACAAGAGCCTTAGGTATCTTTTTGTTGAAAATTAAACTAAATTAAAGATATAAAATAAATATTAATCGGGTATCGATGACCTGAAAACAATGGTACTGGGTTTTAAGGTTACTCGACTTACAGGTACCCGCATATTACTGGCTAAAACATGGACCAAGATTTTGGCACTGAAAAATCTCAAATACTTGAAAAAGCGAGTACCTAAATATAAACACCCCTAACTAATATAGATGATAAAAAAAAATAATGTATTTAATATAATTATGGAGTTGTTTTTATTAATGAGAAATAAATGTATTTTTATATAAATTTACTTAAATGTTATTATGTTAAACTCTAATTATTTTATTTCAACCCTACGTACCATTTTGGATGAAAGCTAGATGTTTTAAGTTTAATGGCTTGTTGGAGTTACCCAATAACAAGAAAGTAAACACAAATCAAAGAGAAAGTAATTGGGCCTCTCCGAAGAAGAAGAAGAAGAAGAAAACAAATGAAGCCCATAAATGGCATGCACCTCATTTTTTCAAATCTTTCATTAGTTCCCATACAAAACAAGCGTTCGAGAAAAAACTGGGGGAGAAAAGGTCCATCGTTCTAGTAGGGTTTTTCAGTGGAAGAAGAAGAAACCCTTTTTCAGATTAATCTGTTTCAACAACTTTTAAATTCTAATACCAAAGACAATCATAAGCAATGCACTCCCCAGTTCTCGTTCTGAGTAAGTTTCTTTTCTTTTGTTGCATTTTTTAAATCCTTTAGATTCAATTTGTTCCTAAAAATAACATTGAAATAAGCAGAGGATTCGTTGAAGCGGGAGTCCGGGACTAAGGTTCACCATGCTAATATCCAAGCCTCCAAGGTAATCCTTTTCTTTCATTGTTGTTTTTTTTAATTATTTTGTTTTACTTACTCTGTATTAATCTAGAGTGTGATTGATGAATAAGCTGCTTAAATTTTGAAAGAATGTAAACCCAATTTTTGTTTATGAGTTCTGATCTGAGAACTTTATATATCTAAGAAGGCAGGATTCAACATGCTTTGGGTCTTCGATATGATTTCCATTTGTTGTTGTCTGTTCAATGCTCACTGAACAAAATTACTTTACAGGCTATTGCTGACATTATTCGAACAACATTGGGTCCTCGATCCATGTTGAAAATGCTCCTTGATGCTGCTGGAGGTAATCCTTTTTACTTCTATTTACATTTCCGGTGCAAATGTTTTGGAATTAACAAAAACATTTTATTACCCTTAAAATGCGCTTTTTTTGATCTGGTATAAATATTGTTGTATGGTTTTGATTTCTACCGGGTATTGTCGTTACTAATGATGGAAATTCCATCCTAGGTGAGTTAGATATTGCACACCCAGCAACAAAGGCATGATATTCCACCATGCATCTCTATTTGATCTGCTTTTAGCATGTGAATGCCTCCCCCACCCCACAAAACAAAAAAAAAATTGTCTTATTTTCTTTCAGTCTTATCCTTTTTGTTGGTCATGGCAGTCAATGATTGAATTGAGCCGTACGCAAGATGAAGAAGTTGGAGATGGAACGACATCTGTCATTGCTCTTGGTAGATTTTTTTATGCAGCAAAATGCTGTTTATGTGCTTTTATACTTTTCCATACATTAGTTTATTTTTCAATTATATTCTCATCTATAAGATCTTTTTTTGTGAACTAATAATTTTTTCAGAAGCTCAATGGAACTTTAATTGCTTAGCTCATTTGGTATTCAATTTCCTTTAGTACTTATATTTGGTGTACTCTGTGGTGCAGCTGGTGAGTTGCTTCATGCCGCAGAAGCCTTTATTGAAACAAATTATCATCCTACGGTTATCTGTCAAGGTAATGCAACTTAGAACTGATGCTAGATTCTTAACATCTGCTTTTGAAACATTACTTAGAATTTGATGATGAACCATTTCATTTGCAGCATACAATAAGGCTTTTGAGGATGCTATTATTGTGCTTGACAAGATTGCAATGACTATTGATGTGAAACACTGTATGTTTCTCCTAGGAAGTTTTTATAATCATAAAAGCATTTTTTTAATCTTTTATCCCCTTGTATTTGCATCTTTATCATCTTTGGATCATCATATTGTTGCTTTTATATTTGAATGGCAGGTTCAATGGTGTTGGGACTTGTGAAGAGCTGCATAGGAACAAAGTTCACTAGCCAATTTGGGAATCTGATTGCCGTGAGTGTTCTTTTTAATCAAAACTTGTTTTTATGTGAACTTCTATTATAGATTCATTAGCATATGCCATTGAGCTGCCATAGTAGTTACCTTTATTGTTTTTCCTTTTTGCAAATGACATGTTAGAACATAGAATAGTCATCTGACCATTTGAGTATTTGATTGTTTAGCAATTTACTCATATTTGAATATGAATAGAACTGGTTCCTCATCTTTAGTTTCAAATAATTAATATTACACCAATCAGCATTCAGCAAGCATTAGGGGAAAGACATTTGAAATATGTCTGTTACAAAAGGAATCAGGGAACATTTGAAATCATAAGTCAAGCAACTATAGTTACATGCTTTGGGTATTTGAATATCTGACATGGTTGTCTGTTGTCTCTGTGTATTGGGCCATATTTTACTAAAATATTCAGACTCATGCATTTGGATGAAAAGCGTACAGAAATAGTACACTCGGACTTTTTTTTTGTTCAGTTTGTGTATCATGTTTTCACATGACCAAGCAATCTCCCATTGTTGTCTCAGTTCACTTTCTTCCTGTTGGTGTTTGGTCTGGCTCGCATGAAAGACCAAGATTGTATAACTAGTGCCCATGTCAGACATGTTTAACACATCGAAATTCATATTGTATTGACATGGGAATGGTGCCAATATATTGTTTATTCTACTAGCTGAAAATACAAAGTTTGTTCCTATTTATATCAAACATTAATTTCTCATCATAAAAAAATGTGAAAAGTAATATTATTTCACAATAACAAATTGGAACAAAATGATTTAGTCACAGTCACACTTTAAATTTAGTCAAAGTAAACAATTATGTCAAATTTATTTCGTCCCAATATTTAGTCAAAATAAAAAATTGTGACAAATTTATTTAATCAAAATAACAATTTATAACAAATATTAATTTCTCATTATAAAAAATGGTGGCAAATAATATTCTTTCAAAATAACAAATTGTAACAAAATTATTTAGTCACAGTAAAAAAGTTGTAAAAAATATTTAGTGTCGAAATAAAAGTATTGAGAAAATAAATTTTCTTGTAATACGTCTTTTTGTCACGAAAACTTTTTTTGTTTGATTTTATAATTTAACTTAATTGTGATAAAATTTACTTTTTGTAATAAAATAATTGTTTTATTTTAACAAATATTTTGTCTCTGTAAGTTACATTTAGTGACGAAATAGCAACTGTGACAAATTAATTTTTGTTGCTTTGTGTATTTTTGTCACAAAAAACTTTTATGTTTGATGTTTAAATATAAGTTAGTTATGATAAAATGTACTTCTCGTGACAAAATGGTTAATTGATTGTGACAAATATTTTATTGCGATAAGTTAATTACAGTAACGAAATTTCATTATTACAATAAATATTATACTATGGTAACGAACACAATTTTGTCACAATATATTTTACATGACAAGGTTGTTCAGAACAACTTGTTCTAACAAATATGGTAACAAATAAAATTGGTTAGAATAAATATATCGTGACAAATTTTGTACTTTTAGTGATAAATAATTTTATTGAAACAATCTAAATTTCTTGTAGTGTTTGGAGTAATCGAAACACTAACCGGACCTCCGTCGTCGCCGCACGTGCTGCCATGCAACGACGATGCGCGTGGGGCTTGTCCACGCTCCAAGGAAATTTCTGGAATCGGGTCAACCCGACCCGCCTGCCCGACCGGACTGCCTGACTCGCTTGACCCAACTGAGTCAACCTACACTGAGTCAACTCGGCTGAGCCAACTCACAGGGTAAACTCGTTGACTTTGACCTAGTCAACCCGTTGACTTTGACCGAGTCAACCCGTTGATCGTTCACTTTGGCCGAATCAACATGTTGACCTTTGACTTTGACCAAAAAGTTAAATTTTTTGAAAAGCCATATTTTATGATTTTCGACGTCCTGAGTCCGATTTTAAGTCCATTTTGCCAAATTCTCAATGTTTTATATTCGGATTCAAGTTGGTTTCTAAATTAAGTTCAGTTTCTGACATAAATTTGGTTGCTTGGTATCCGAGGAATTATGGGGCATTGAATTCAAGTTCGAGGGTTATTGAATGGAGTTAAATGGTCGATCGATATGGCACGAAAATCGAGATAATACTTTACTACTTTTTGAATGCTTTTCGAGACTCACTGATAAATGGTAAATGCATGAATGTAAATAAGTAGTCCATTAGGGTAGTTAGCTATCTTGGGATTCAGACGAAAATTGGATTAAAGACGAAACATTGTATAAGACTCTGACGACTCAAAAAAGAAATTGGTAGACTGATCGGAAACAATTTTCACTTCAATGAATAAATCGATAAATCAATCAATCAATCTCTAAATGAGTAATTTCTGATTAATCTCGTTAAAGATTATATGATGGAAATATTTGGATAAGAAATTACCAAGAATAGCACTTTGGGGTAAAATTACGAAAATGTCATTGTACTGAAAAATGACCCAGATATCTCCTAATGGTGAAAATAACCTCCAGTGATTAAATGAACAAAGTACTCTGAACACTAAAGGAACTAGACTACATTCAAGCCTAAGTTATTTGAAGTAATTCCACTGTCATAATTGGATGAAATGACGATAATATCCTTAAAGTGTAAAATGATTCGAAGCACGTCCAAACCCTGAAATAACTAATATCCACAGCTCTGAAATGAATTTAGCAACCTCAATGATTGTGGATTAAGTAAATGATTGGATAAGTCTGGAAACTCTGATGAACTTACATGATGTACTATTCTATTGGGTTATGAACCACAAATCAAGTAAGTCGATATTTCATGATACCGTTGAATCGTGGAAATAAAATAAAAACCTATGGAAGATATGTTCGTCTCTTTAAGATATATTCAACGATGATTCTGAAGATGATCTTGGGACAAGAATTGTTGGTATTAAAGAGTGAATACCCTGGAAGGGCAATGAATTGAACAGTCGACATACATCAGTTCTGGGAGTTGTTCATCTCGAGTTGTTCGATAATCCGATTGATTGACATGGATAATAAATGCTTTGAATCTTCGTTTCTCCCTTATCGGCTCAAATCACTATGAATTCTCTAAGAACCTAATACCCAAAATGCCTCTGATTGTCCTGAATCATAGAATTCACTTCGCTCATATATGAAACATAAGTAACTCAAATACAAAGGACTCTAAATACCCTTCTAACTTCTTAGTGCCTCCGAAAAATGTTCGAATACAATATGATCATGATAAATCGCATTCTGAATAACTGATGATTCCGTCAGCTAATGAACTCTTCCGATAGTGATTCTAACTTCTGTCATTCTATCGGTATATTGAAGATCCGTGTTTTTCTTCCCGATAAGATTATCCAGTATCTCCGAATAATATTTGAAACCTCTAGTGTGTTCCCTTATCACAAGGATGTTTTCTCTGATTTCTGTTCTGGTTTCTGATATCTCTGGTTACTGATTGAAAATGTTTTATTTGGGATATTCTGGGATCTGGTATGAAGACTCTGGCAGGTTCATTCACTGCGGTTAATTCCTTTTATAGGTTCTGCACCGACTGGTAATTCCTTAAGGACGTAAGGTGACCCTTGGGTAGTCTCTGTGGCACCGAGATATTTCTTGGGTAGGCCTCCGTGACCCCGAGAACTTTCTTGGGTAGGCTCTCAGGCCTCAAGGTGCCCCCTTAGGTTATGCAGTTCTGGGGAACTGCATATGGCGTTCGGTTGGAGAGACTATTATGGTTTTGAAAACATGTTTTAAATGGTTTTGTGGGAACACACTAGACACCCTATCCTGATCTCCTGAACCCAATCATCTGAAATATTTCCCTCTGAACGGAAAACTTAATGTCTGTTACTACCTGAGATATCAGTGGGACCTCAGCTCAACCTAAAAATCTATAGATGTATGAACCAATAAGGAAATATATAATTATATGTTATCTGTATGTTCTTCTGCATCATCTGGTAGTTATGTATTATTGAGCTTTCCAAAACTCACTATGTTACTCACCATTTCAGGTTAAAAGAATCGTATCAGCACAGCTATCGACTTCAGTAGGGGAGTTCCACCGGCGTTGTTTGCGGAGTACGGTGCATGAAATTAGGGGCATGTAGGTCGTATTTTGTTTTTATATCTGAGTATGAAAAACTATTTTTATTTCTGAATATTGACAAATTTTACTTTTGTATTTTTAAATGATTTTATGATTTTATATGTTTTAATCAAAATATTAATTTTTTTAAAATTTTTATGATAAATTACTCATATGACCCTAATATGACATCCCGAATAAGATCGGACTACTCTCATCATCGGTACGAGGGGTTACACATGTAGTTATACGAAGAAGATAATGGGGTGGCCTGCCATTCCATCCACATGGGAAAATCCTGCAGAAGTTGAGAAGCCCCGACCCACTGCACACACGAAATGCCTGAAACGGTTCCCGAGAAAGGAGACAAAATGAAAAATGAAATAAATCGGAGACTAAAACCTGTGCCAGTCGAGAAGAGAAACTGACGGTAGCCATCCAACCAGGGAGGGCTGCGAGAAAACGAAGAAAACATGATACTTGAAATTGAACACAAAATGTGTATTATTGTTAAAATATATGGACTATAAATTATTGGATAAGGTATGCGTATTTTTCAATTCAACTAGTCCTTACTAGATTAAGTCCAATTTAAAAGTATGGCCCACTTCCATTTTCCAGAATTATTATATTCACAGACTGATTTTAATCGAGAAAGCTCCATTTATCTAAAATACAACGATATAAAGCAAAGCACACCGATGTGGATCCGGCCCATGCCCAAAGCTGTTCCTCAACAGTTTCCCGTAATAACGTTGTGGCCACCATATCAAGGCAACCGTGTAAGGACCAGCACCAAGGCCAGCTCAAGCGCAATGGACGCAGCCGGCATCGACTCCGACGGCAGAGAATTCAAGAGCTCACAAGAAATGTGGAGAGAGCAAGTTGGAGATGGTGTAGGTGATCCTAAGAAGACTCAGTGGTATCGTGAAGGCGTTGCTTACTGGGAAGTAGGTCCAATTTTAACTTCGGGTCTTTCGTTTATGTGGGAACCCAACTGATGAAATACTTTGTTTATTTTGTTATTGTGAGTCAAGGGTGTGGAGGCGTCCGTAGATGGGGTATTGGGTGGATTTGGGCAGGTAAACGATGCTGATATTAAGGGTAGTGAGGCTTTTCTCAATACCCTTTTGCATGAAAGGTTCGGTGATGCTGCAATAAATCAACATCTTGTTGTTCTTGGTACTTCTTTTCTCTGATTACCTTTGTGTGTTTCACATTTTTATGAATTCAGATACCCAGTTTTGTGCTGTTGAGGTAGTTTGGCTTATATAGATTATATGTATATTTATTCAGTGAAAGTAGAGGTTCCATTAATTGCGCAAGTGCAAAGTTGCTGTAGCCTTAGGTGGAAAACCTTGTTGATAGGAAAACATGGATGGGGATGGTGCATATTGGGTGGAATGTTGAGCTCAATATCCTTCATTTGTAGCTGAAACTGGATAACAAGATAACTTGAGAAGTCAACCATGAAACTTATGCCCCATATCCCTCTCCTAAAAGGAAGAATAGAAGAAAATTGTATCAATCACGGGAAAAGGCATGGCTATTCACATAATCACCAACTTTTTCATTGGGATGATCTGATTTGATCACCTAAAATAGCCTTAGCTTAGATCAAGAAACATGTCGTGCCTTCTAAATTTTCATTTTATTTGGAACTTTTACCTTTAAAAGGAAAATGAAGTTTGTTATGGTCTTGAAACATTCTACTATCTCAAGGAGATTGATTGTTCGGCATTGAACTTATGGATTTACTATTGCCTAAAAGATGGAAATGGTATGAATACTTCTGAGTTGTTGGTCTATACCAAGGCAATTGACTAAAATCATGCAAAGGGAGTGTTTTGGAGAAATTATTTTATAAAGTAGTAGGGGTTTACTTTAATATGAAGATGTTCAGGTGACTAAGCACTCGATAATTGTTTGCCTTTTATATGGAGATAATCACAACATTATAAATAGTGTGATAATAGATGCACGTAAGCACTTAGCTCAAGCACCTGCATGTGTCCACTACATGAAGAGTCGGGTTGACGCTTCCCTTTCTAAAATTAAAAGAAAAAAATGTTAATGTCTGTTCCCTTGAAATTTTATCTTAGTGTGGCTTATGTTATGTGAACTAATGCAAACTTTTTGAGTGATCTTAGTGCTCGAAACGGAAAACCTTAGGGCTTAGAATGTTAAATAAACATTACTGTTTCCAAAGATCCTGTTTTACTAACTTTTACCTTTAAAGTCCATGGCTCCATGCAAGCAGTGCCAATACCTCATGATGGCTCTAGAGCATAATTAAAATATTGCTGGGTACTGACCTCTTAGATATATCATTTATTCTTGATGCTTTTAATTGTAGTTGACAATCACAAATTATTTGACATTCTAAGCTCTTAGGTTTAAAATACTGCAGATTGTGGTTCTGGCATAGGGAGAATAACCAAAAATCTTCTCATAAGATATTTTAATGAGGTGAATTCTTTTTCCTCTTTCTTATGCTATATTTTCAATATGCTATATTTGCAGTTAATATATAATTGATTCATTGTAATGTAAAGAGTTTTTCTGCTGTATTTGAATGAAAAACAACTATACGATTTTTAGTGGACTAGAAAGGCTAATTCGAATTAATAACCATATTTCTATTAAAGAAAACCAGAATAATGGCTAAAGTTGAAGTGGTATCCAAGTATGATACAACTAGGTAATGTGTTTAGAAGTCCGTTTCTAACTGTGTTACACCAGCTAAGCTTAGCCATCAGAACTCATTAACAAATACATACTGGTCACATGCCAACTTTATAAAATGAAAACACAATTACAGACTTATATAAAGTAAAACAACACAAAATTTTCATTAAAACTAAAATTGAATTCCTGATACTGTTCACTTTGCAGTGTTTCTCTCGCTCATTAGCACGTATGGATCCCTAAAAGCATTTTATTATAAATTAAATATTAATTTAATCTGTTTTCAATTCTAGAAAGCACTTTTTTCTCTTTTTTTTAAACAATGACGTTTTTCTTTGCTAATATTTGGCATTTAGCCAAAAAATTTCAATTGTCACACCACTAAAAAGGCCACACATCCATTTTTAAGTTTTAACTATTGCCATTATCCTTTTTCATTGATAATAACTAATACCATTTCAGTTGTCCTTAAATAAACTTTTAGTAAAAAATATGAGTGCGTTAGGTAGAGAGAGAGCGAGAGAAAAGTCGAAAATTTCCATTGATGCTGATGAGGAATGGACAGTGTTCATTGATAATCTTAATAAGAGTGTTTCCAGAGGGGTGTTAAGGAATTATTTTAGTCCTTATGGTCAGATCTTGAGGATTTTCATCCCACGTTTTTTAGAAAAACCAAATTATAAATCTTCTACTTTTGCTTTCGTCCAATATGCTCGTGAGGAAAGTAGAAATAAGGCAATCCGGTTCGTGAATGGGAAGTGGCTTGATGGAAGAAGAGTCTCAGTAGGGATCGCTAAGTATCAAAAGGTTAAGAGAAGGGAAGCTGTGGAGGGGAAGAGAATGTTGGAGATCAGGTCTGGGATTAAGGATGCATCAGGATCGGGGAGGAAAGCTGTGTCATTGAGAAGCTTGAGAGATGACAGATCGTATAAGGATGTGGTGAACTCGGATTATGATTTGAGAAGAAAAACAGTATCAGGGGCTAACTTGCCGGGTAACAAGCAGAATGTACCAACTGTGAGAAATGTTTGGGACATGCATATTCCATCAGATAATTCGGAATGGGTTAAACGTTCATTATCAGGGATAATGAAGTCTTCTTTTGAACATGACTCGGTGAAAGACGCTCTGGAGTTAGAAGGCATGGAAGTTCAGGTTGTTAGATGGGGTTATGCATGGAATGCATGCATAATTACTTTCAACTCGGTGGAGAAGGCCTCACAGGTATGGATGAATAAAAAGGAAAAGTTGCTCTTATGCTTTGATTGGTTAGCCCCAGTTTTGAACGAGGATGGAGTTCCTTCGACACTTTGCCAGATTGAGTTATTTGGATTGCCTTTACTGTGTTGGAATGAGGCATTCTTAAGAAAGCTTACAAGGAAGGGGGTCAGTTTCTATGTTTTAACAAAGATTCAGAGAGCAGATCGGACCTCTCGACGGCAAAAGTTCTGCTCAGGGTGGAAAGTCCTTATGATGTTCCTAATAAAGTGACGATTGGTTCGTATGGTAGATCGTTCAAAGTTACGATCACACTGGGATCTGTTTTGATTAAACCAGAGGAAGAAGAGGGGAGGAAGAAGATGGAGAAATTTTAAAAAAAAGGAACAGTGGTTATGTCGTGTTTGAGGAGGGATCTGGCAGACATCCTACTTTGGCTGAAGACAGGGATGAGTCCGCAGAGGATGCTAGGCTTAAAGTCATTTCTTGGCTGAATTGTGGGCAGAACAGTGGAGTGAATGGAGTCAGTGGGGGACATGTCCAATCGAGTAAGTCAACAGCAAATAATTCTGATTGTGGGCTGTCAGGTTTCTTGGAAAATAAGATAAGTCAAAATGACAATCACGTGGGCTTGGGATTGAGAGATACAATTGATCCGGTAGACTCAGTGCAATCTGAGGAAAATGAGGCTGCATTATTTCGAATTAAAAAATGGGTTCCCAGTGGGCCTGCATTTAATTTTAAATGGGTTGGGGACAAGTTTGTCTTACAGCCCAATGCCACTTCTGCAATTCACTTGAGTGCTGCTGATGAGGGGGAGGATAGGGGGGCGAAAGTTAATTTTCAAGGGGAGAAGGAAGTGACTCCATGTGAACAGGGAGATGTAATAAGAAAACATAACTATATTGGTTCAAAAAGCCTGGAGGGGGACCACATTATTAATTTGCAGATTGATAATGATGTAGAGGGGTTTAAATGTACAGTTGATAAATCGGAAGGTGGTAAGCAGATGGAGAAGGTTATGAATGATAATTTATGTAACTCTAATGAGGAAATCTTCTCAGGTTCGAGTATAAAGAATAGAAATAATGAGATTCAAGAGGGAAGTACTTCATGCCACAAGAAAGATGATCAGTTTAAAGCAAAGGAAAGTCATCTAGTTCCTATTAATCAGCAGGATAAGTGTATTCCTCGGTCTAAAAGCCTTACTAATAAGCGAAAGTTGAGAATTGCACCTCGTCGATCGGGAAGTGTTTGCTCGGATACTGAAGTGTCTATCAACTTCTATGATAGAGTCGATAGAAAGGTTCTTAGAAGTAAGGTCAGGGAGTCAGTGGAGCAAGTCAGGGAGGTATCTCAGTCTTCCCAATCTTCTGTTAAAGCTAGGATTGAAGCTGTTGCTACTAGGGAGGTCTGTGAAATGTTGGGGATCACCTTTAAAGGGGGGCAGCAATTATTAGAGGAGGAGATTTTTAGGATGGAATTGAAGGGGTCTTCTCAATGACCCTGATGGTTTCTTTGGTTTGATGTGGAGTTTATGATTGTCAATTTTATGTCTAAGTTAAAATTAATCACATGGAATATTAGAGGTCTTGGGAGAAGAGAAAAAATAAGAGCAGTGGCCAAACTCGTTACTAGAGAGAAGCCGTTTATCCTATTCTTACAGGAGTCAAAACTGAATGTTTGTAAGAGTAATTTATGGAGGAGGTTAGGAGGTAATCTATTGAAAGGTCATGTCTTTCTTCCAACTGAGGGTTCTGCAGGAGGTCTGATAAGTTTGTGGAATGAGAATGTTTTTGTGGTCAATGTTGAACATAAACATAGCAGATTCATAGCATTATCAGGAAAGTTCAAGCTGTATAATTTTGATTGTGTTTTAATAAATGTATATGGTCCAGCAGTAGAAGCGGATAAAGAGGAATTCTTTAGGGAGCTGATGTGTTTTGTGTAGTGTTTAAATCTGTCAGTCTGCATAGGAGGGGATTTTAATGCTTATTTGGATACAGAGGAGAAATGCGGTGTAGCTCAAAACTGGCATTCCAAGGATTTGTTTAGATCCTTCGTTCAACATTTTAATCTTATGGATTTACCATTAGTTGGAGGAAGATATACTTGGTGCAACAACAGAGAGTCTCATACTTGGGTAAGGCTTGATCGGTTTATTATCAGTGGTTCATTCCTAAATCAATTTCCTAATATGATCCAAAAAATGTTCCCAAAATCTCTTTCGGATCATAATCCTGTGGTGTTAGTAGAAGAATGCAACAATTGGGGACCAAAACCTTTTCGATTATACAACTATTTGTTAGAGGAAGACGGGTTTGTTGAGTTGGTTGAAAATTCATTGTCTACGGTGAAGAAGGCGAATGGTCGATGGGGTCTATTTTCATTACTTCGAGGAACAAAGCAGAAGATCAGGGATAGGCCTTTTTCGACTCAAAAGGGGATTTCTGAAAAAATTTCTCAACTAGAAAACTTGATCAATGGTATGGAATTCAAAAGGAGGAGGGATTTCCATTCAAGAAAGGGATTTGTTGATTCTGTCCAGGAATGAATTATGGAAGTTGCATAGGAGGGAAGAGAGTATTTGGTTACAAAGATCAAGATTGAAGTGGATCAAGGATGGGGATAGGAATACAAAGTTTTTCCATTTAACAACATTAAATAGAAATAGAATGAATTCAATTTTGGCCCTGAGAGTGGCTAATGAAGAAATTTCTGATCTGGAGAAGCTGAAAAAATTTGTCTTTGAGTATTTTAAGGAGAACTACAGCTCTAAAAATACGCTGGAGGTAGAGGACATTAATCTCAATTTCATGACATTATCAGAGGAGCAGAAAAATGGACTTGAGGTACGGTTTTCAAAACAGGAAGTTAGGGAAGCAGTGTTTCACTCGGACAGCTCCAAACCCCGGGTCCAGTCCAGACAGCTTCACGATGGGTTTCTTTAAAATATTCTGGCATGTTTTGAAGGATCATTTAATGAAGTTTGTGGATGACTTTCACAGAGGGATGAGTTGGGAGCATGGGGTCAACCATGCTTTCATTACTTTAATTCCTAAAAAACTCAACCCTGAAGTTATTGAAGATTACAGACCAATTAGTCTTGTTGGAAGTTTGTACAAAATTATCTCTAGAATCTTATCGAGGAGATTGGTTTCTGTTATTAAAGTTTTGATCAGCCCATTGCAGTTCGCCTTTATTCCGGGTAGGCAGCTCATTAATTGTGCTTTTATGGCAAATGAATCTATAGATTACTGGAGGAAAAAAGGAAGGAAAGGAGTTGTTTTTAAAGTAGATTTTCACAGAGCCTTTGACTCAGTGGAATGGCCAATTATTTTGAGGTTATTGAAGATAATGAGTTTTGGAGACAAATGGATTTCTTGGATTGATTACTGTATTTCTTCTGCTTCAATTTCAGTTCTAATTAATATTTCCCCTACTCAAGAATTTCAGATGGGCAAAGGGTTGAGACAAGGTTGTAGTCTATCTCCTCTTCTGTTTAATATTGTTGGTGAGCTATTGAACTTAATGTTGAGTAAGGCTGCTGCCCTTGGCCTTTT